AAACTTTACTTACAAGCCCCAAACTCTCTCTGCAGTAAGAAAGTGCTAAAACTAAAATGTCTGGGGTCTTGTCTTGACATGCCCACAATTAGTGTACAAACACGACATTTCATTTCATGAGTTGAGAAAGAAACTGGAGTGTCCCACGTGTTGTCTTCTCTACAGCTTGGGTGTAAATAGAAACATCCTTTCCTAAAAAGCATTTGCATACGGAAGAACATTCCTCAAAGTGTCTTTTAATCTGTGAAATGTCTTCATTTTAGTACAAAATGAGTGAAGCTGCCCTGTGAAGTCAATTGCTTATCTGATTGTTCTAATCAGGTGCTCCACAAAGGGAGTGTAAAATAATTGTATCAATGGAATTTTCAAATATTTTAGGTCATATATTTATTCTGGTTTTTATTCCTTCAAGGGAAGCCAAATAAAGAAAACTTCATAAATACCCAAACCATATTTCTACATGGGAGGCTGCCAGCTTGTGACAGTAACATTAAGCTCTACAGGAATAGTGAATGTTAGGTATAACTTCAAAAGGAAGAAACAGTCATCTTCACAGAATACCTTCTCCAAGTCTTTGCCATCAAGTGTCTCCAGAAGAAGGGTCTCCTTTCCCCCAGCAAGTCTTAATTACTGGAGGAGAAAACAGCCTAGGCTTTCACCCAAAATAGTCTTCTTAACCCCTTCATCTCCTTGCTTGCTTTTTACATTTCATCCCAATGTCCCCCCACTGGTACTGAGGTTCCATCCAAAACTATGAAACTTCCAGGGATCTAAAAGTGTTGGAATCCCGAGATGTCCAGAAGGTTTTTCAGGCTTAAAAAGAGAAAGAATGGTCCTCCATCTCTGTTGATATCCTACCCTCAAAATTCAAACGTGAGGAAAGCACATGAGACAAAGAGATCTATTTCTGATTGACTTGTTCGGTGATGTGAAAAGAGGTAAGGTGTATCCTGAGTTCCCATCACACATTGTGAATGTGTAAAGAATTTTTTCAGAACTGGAGAAGCAAGGTACTATTCTGGAAATGACAGACTAGGGCTGAGGGGGTTGAGGCAAGCTACCTAAATCCTGACTTAATTAACTGGTTTCTCCTTCCCAGCCATCACTGACATCAGGTGGTTGGAATCTGAGAGTGCTGGAGATGGGGCAAAGCCTAGAAAAAGCCAATTTTAAAAGCGAGTTAGCACCCACACTGGATCCGTGTGTAGTGGCTGAGAGCATTTAGTGAAGTGTTCCAGTCTGTTTCCAACATTATCTCCCAAACAGAGGACAAAGCACAGGTGAATTGACCTCCAATTTTATTTCCCCTTCTTCTGGCATCCAGAAACCACTCAATTATCATCACCTTAATTATTATTTCAATTTAATGTCAATGCCCTAATGGCTAGGGCTGTGTCATTTCTGTAAACTCTATGTCAACCCCTCAAAGTCTGTTTAATGCTGCTCCTGGCAACCGAAGACCCAGCTTCTTGCCAAAAACTGCAGATTATGCATTCGTTATGGGAGTTTGCCATTAACTTTCCCCTCTGTTATGGGCATATGTGGTTGCATGTCCCAAAACAGAAGGGGTTCCGTGTAATAGATTTGAATTTCCAGGAGGTTTCGGGCATCTGAAGTGGGTGGGTGGCACCTTGAGCCCACCCCTTCAACCACTGCAATCAAAAGTGGGTTTTGGTAATGGGGTGGAAAAGGCTTCCTAGGCTCCAATGGACCCTGGACTACACTTCCGCTTCCTCCTATTTGGACCTCCATTGGTGTACAAGTACTGGAGAGCTCGGATCATATGTCTTTGATTTAAAAGACAACGAATGTTTTTCAGGGAATGTGGAGCTCCTAAAGCGCATATTTATAAACAGACCAACATAGCTCCACAACGGAGCTAAGTTTGTAACTGGGAATTCTCGTCATTGTTCTTCATTGGTAATAGAAGCGCTTGCAGCTGTGAATATTTGAAAGACCCGTCAAAAAATCTATTCTTTTGCCTTCCCCGTGTTTACTAAAGCATGGTTTCAAAACACCTAGAGGTGAGGTAGATTTTCAAAGGAGAGATGAGATCCTGCAACATTACCAAGCAGACAAGGAGTGAGTGGGTAACTCAACCTCCAAAGTCCCAAGGAACAATCTAATCTGATAGAGGGTCCCATGAACACAGCCACTCTATTTGTAAGCAAGACCTCCAGCACACATTCCCTTCCCCTCTCCAGCTAAGATGAAGCAAGCTCGGCCTTACACTGTAGAGAGTGCCCAGCTTGGAGCCCGGATACCCTTTCAGCTAAAGCGCTGTACCCGCTGTGCTGGTGCTTTTATTTGACCAGTTTTAGAGATCTGTCACTTTGCCATTGGTCTAAATCAATGCTCCGGAGAGAACAATTAAGAACGCAATAGAACCTGCAAAAAGGCAGAATAGTGTCAACTTGCTGAGCAAGGCTTCCCTCCTTGGGAGAACTGTCTGTGTTAGACCACGGGCTCGAGATCCTCCCTGGCTGCCTCTGCCCTTTCTGCTGCTTGTCCCACCCGATGGAATCTGATTTTCATTGTCAGCCACGCCTTTGGGACAGTGTTAAGCAGTTCCGGTGTTCACACGGTGCCTGGGATGGAATCTTTCTTCGCGATAATGTCCAGGTTGGGCATCAAAGAGGGTCTCACCTGGGAAGTGTGAGTCAGAAGGACCCGGAAGAACTGGAAATGTCCGAGCCCTTGTTGAGGCAAATTCCTCTGAATTGGGCTAGGCCACCGGCTGCGGCAGGATGCACGAAGGCTCTGGTGTAATTGTCAAAGTAACCTGGAGAAAAGTGACATCCGCTGGGGAAAGGCCTGTGATGAGGAAAGGCTGTGTCAGGTCAGGACCGGTGAACAGAGACCTCCCTCGTCCACAATTTGTAGGGGAGTTTCACCAAATTTGCAAGCTTGGGTGATCCATTGCAAATGGCTGCTGGTATGTGCCCAAGGCAATGAACTAAGACGCCTTGGGCTCTTCAGAAGCCGAAGTCAGGCGGGCACAAGGCCAAGCAGAATGTTTTTCAGCTCTAAAGGGAAGTTTTTTTTTTTTTTTTTTCCCGTCCTAGCATCTCCTTCAGCCGGACCAAAGGTTCTGGGCCCGCAAGCGTGCGTCGAACACCACCACTCCCGGGAGCCAGTAGCTTCCTCGTCATCCTTTAGGAAGCCGCTTCCCCATTAGCCTTTTCGAAGGCGCCGCCCCAACTCTAGAAAACTACTAGCTGTAATAGTTAAGTGTTAAAACACTTAAGACCTTCATCCCTATCCCCCCTCCCCGACACACACACACACACACACACACACACACACACACACACACACACACACACAGAGGCGCTACGTTGTGTGATGAGCCTTCCTCTGCCCTCCAGTACGAACCGGAGGCACTTGTCTTTAAGAATGTTCTGAAGAAAGAATTGTGCTCTTAATGATTAACGCGTGGAACAAGAGCAGCAGTGGGGAAACCGGCTGGTAGTGGTAAGATGTAGTTATTTTCAAGGACTCTTGCGCAAACTCCCGTCCCATCCCATGCCCACCGCCTCCACACGGCCCCTGGGCCTTGGCTAGCGCTGTGTCCCCGCCGCCACGCCAGCTTTTTTTTTTTTTTTTTTTTTTTTTTTTTAGGTTAGAGGCAACCTCGGGCCCCTCTACCACCAGCGACCCAGTTAACAGCTGCCGCTGTATCCGGCTTCTCCGGCTCAGATCAATGTGGATCTTCCACGTAAACGATTTACGGATGAAATAAAAGCTCTTTAGAGCAATACTTCCTTTCAAGTTCTTAAGATGCCTCTAAATCTTCTGGGAGTTAGTGGCTGGCGTGTGGGCGGGGTGGACAGCGGGCGTTGGGAGTTGGGGGGGGGTGGCCGCCCAGCAGGGCGCTAGGACTGGAGGGTTCACCGCTCTGCGTTCTCACCAGGGTCCTCCGCAATGCCAGTCCACTGTTGAGGCGATTACGTTTTCTGGTTTTCTGGGTGCCGGGGCCTTGTCTCTCCTGGCGTTTGTCTGCAATGGAACTGTCTGTCTGAACCAGGCCGGGGCGCGCCCTGCCCTGGGTGGGTGAGTTGGGAAGATGGGGGTGGGGGGAGGAGGGGACCCTGGGGTGGAGTTAGTCCCTGCCTATTTTCATATTCATTAGGACTGGGAGGTTGCCGCAGGAGCCCAGCTGAGTTTCAAGATATAAAAGCAACTTCGGGTGCCCCGTTCTGCAGCCCGAACAGATTAAGAGGCTGGGAGCTGGGCAGCTCCCGGCGTCGCGGGGCTCGCTTCCCTTTCCCTCCTCTCTGACCCTCCCTCCTCCCGCCCACCGCTTGCTCCCTCCTCCCTCAGCGCCCTCCATCCTCCCTGCGCGCCCGGGAGCTCGCCGACAGCCTTGCAGGATTATGGAGTTTCTGAGTGAGAAGTTTGCCCTCAAGAGCCCGCCAAGTAAAAACAGTGACTTTTACATGGGCACAGGAGGCGCGTTGGAGCACGTTATGGAGACGCTGGACAATGAGTCCTTTTACGGCAAAGCGACGCCAGGCAAATGCGTGCAGGCCTTCGGGCCGCTGCCGAGAGCTGAGCATCACGTGCGACTGGACAGGACCTCGCCCTGTCAGGACAGCAGCGGTAAGTCACCGGGACCCGGGCCGCGCTCCAGCCCCAACCCCATCTTTCTCCTTATTTCCGGGCGGCCAGGCTGGAGCTTCTAGTCTCAGCCCCAGCCTCACTCAGTTGTCCTTTCCCAAAGGGAGGTGGGGTGCGGGTCAGAGTGAAAAAATGAGGGAGCAGGGATCCAGGCTGTGGGGACACTGAGGGACGCAGCCGGGCACCCCGCACTCTCTCGTGCTTTGGGACCCCGGCAACTGACCCGGGTCTAGGGCTAAATCCTGAGCGAATTCTTTTTCACTCTCCCCGAAAAGCCGCAACTGGACAGGACCAGGACTCCAGTATAAGCTAACAGGGCGCTAAATAGAGCGTAATTGAGTCAAGATAGCGCTCCTCTGTTGTGATCCCGCCCCGCCGGGATGCCAGGGCGCAAGGACGCGAAATCCATCACTGGACGTCACAGTGGTCAGGAAATCCAAACTCTCTGAGCTCCTTTAGAAGGGGGGGGGGCGGGGGAGACGGACGGACACACAACAAAACTGTTTTTATTGTCCAAGGCGGGATGATGTTTTCATTGTAAAGATGTTGTATTTCTGTTGCTCTCTCTACATTAGCTTGTGTGCATTGTGATTTCCGCGGAGTTTTATTTATTCGCGGCGTTTGCAGCCGGCAAACACAAGTTCTGGTTACGCAGCGAGTCGCATAGGCTTTGGGCAAAGCATTCCGATAAACATCATCCACTTTCGGATTCTGCTTTGTCTACTTTTATCTTACTCCACATAAAAAACGCCACCCAAAGAGCCTTTTGAAACGCTTCTGGGCTTCTGGACAGAATCTTCAACTCTGAATGCCAGAGTATCTCCAAGTCAAAATGTTATCAAAACAAACCATCTATCTTTTTCTATCTCGTAGCCCAGTGCAAACCTATCATTTCACATGCCGACAGTTAAAGCAGGTTTATGATTCCAAGAGGACTTTTCCTTATCATAGGGTATCCTCCACCCTTGAGCTGTAAGGAGCGGGCTGCGTTAAAATAACAAACGAATTAAGTGTGAAATATTTACAACAAGCCTCCGCCCCCCCTATTTAATGGCAAGACATACACTGTTTCGGGAGTTGGTTTGCTCGATGCTTTGTACAAAGATTTTGAATGAATCTCCTAGTCTACTAATTTTATTCAGTGCGGAGAGTGACTTTTGACTTGTTCCGTTTCAACAACAGCAACAGCAACAATAACAAAAATGCACACAACAGAAGAAACTATCATTTAAGTGGACTCGATCATTTCTTTGGGAAAGAGCAGAACAGCTAATTTTTACATACCAAAAAGTTTTGGCTGCCCGGCTGCATTTCGGCGGCCCGCATTTGTGTTTTCAGCATTCTCAGATGCATGCGTGAAGTTATTTGAGCTGACGGATTTTTTTTTTTTTTTTTTTTTTTTTTTTTTTTTTAATGGTTCTGCAGTGGCCTGCGCCCACTGCTAGATAAACTCCATGGTCTTTTAAATTGTCCGGGAAAGAGGAGAGAGAAATGGTGGTTGATTTGGAGTGAATCATTCACTTTTAAGCGGTCATCTAACTAACTCTTGGGAAGAACTTAAACGGAGAAAGATGGGATTAAATGAACACGGACGGTTACCCGCTACATTTGAGGAGAAAAAAAAAAAAGCCGGTCTTTCTCCAGACCTGCCCCCAGCGTCTTTGCGGCTTCCCCCTCCCCCACCTCTAATTGCCGCAGTTCCCGGTTTAACTCTTGTCTGCTGAGACAAAACCTTACTGTTCATCGGTCATAGCCCTCTTCATATTTACTTTTACAGCACATCTTCTTTTGCATAAGATCAATGTGCAATTTAAATATTATAGTCAATAAAGGCCAATACATTTGTAGAACGCATGAAATGGTTCTTCAAACTCTTAATAGGGAATCCCCCCCCCCAGCAACCCCAACCCCCGTTTAAAGAAGCACATGAAAAATGTAGGATCAGTGGTTGGGAATTAGTGTTGGGGGCTGGATTGCCTTTGTTTTCCTTCCGAGACGACAGCAACACAAACCCCAAATAGCTCCTGCTTCCTTATGTTCATTGTATGTGTTTGTGAAATTTAACGATACAATTAGGGTCTTGTTACAAAGCAAGCTTGCACTCCGATCCCAAGGACGTTACTGAAATTGAAATAATTCTTGACAGAATGCAAAATGCCATTTTTAATTTTACTTTACTTATTTATTTTTGTAATTTTCACTTCCCAGCGTTCCTAGAGGGGGAGAAACAAACCCCAACTTTCCGACCTAAGCAGGCAGGAGTTAAAAGGTACTATGAAGTGTTCAAGGGAGGCAAGACGTCTTTAATGTAAAGAAGTTCACTTAAATCTTACACCTCTTTATTACAAACGTAAAAAATGGTAGACCGCTTTCTGAAGGAAATTTTAATTCAGACACGACATCAAATCTGTGAAATGTATTGGAAATCATGTCCCGTTGAAATGTCTGCTCAGCATCATTTTGAGGGTATGGGAGATAGATTTAATGTTGGTAGAAAAAACGATTTAAACTTGAAGTGCCACTGTTTTGAAAACAAGAAATAGTTTAATTTTTGTCTTATGTGCAAAATAAAACTATAAGGTTTGTACATTTTTTTGTTTTGTACATATTTCAAAAGTCATGGTTGTTTAGATCTTTTTTTAGTCTGGAGCAAATTTTCACTTGACTGTTTTTAATTTGATTAAAAATGATATGCATAAACTGTGTTTGCCATGTAAAACAGATCTGTGGACTTCGGCCAAGCAAGAGTCCATGTATACATTCAAAACTGTTTTTAAGGCTGACCAACAATGAGTTGATAATTACGAATTGCACTCCATGTGATGATAGAATACTGGTAAATTACTGGCAGACCCATTTCCCGATGCTCTAAATTAGTTCACATCGCTTATTTTGTATGCTTCACCATCCTGAATGCTGCTATTTCCCTCTCTGAGTACAGTGAACTATAGCATCACCAAAGTGGAAGGACAGCCTCTTCACACTGAGCTGAACCGAGCAATGGACAGCTGCAACAATCTCAGGATGTCTCCTGTGAAAGGGATGCCAGAGAAGGGGGAACTGGATGAACTTGGGGACAAATGTGACAGCAATGTATCCAGCAGCAAAAAAAGGAGACACAGAACTACCTTCACCAGCTTGCAGCTGGAGGAATTAGAAAAGGTCTTCCAAAAAACCCATTACCCGGACGTATATGTCAGAGAACAGCTGGCACTGAGAACAGAGCTCACCGAGGCCAGGGTCCAGGTAGGTTCTGAAAGTTGGCCTTGCAGGGAAGGGTAATATTAGGAAAAGCGAATACCTGTAATTTGTCAAAAAGGAAGAAACATCGTCAGCTAAGACATCTTACTTGTACCAAAGTAAAATGTGATCAAATTGGCCCATTCAAATTTCTTTTTAGTTGTAATAATTTTGACCACTCACTAAGTTTAGGGAAAAGAGCTATTTCAGAAAATGAATAATGAAGTCATTAAAAAGAACAGAATATGGTAGCATATCTCTGGTTAAACAAACAAACAAAAAAACTTAAAGGGTGAAAAAAATTCAAAGTTACCTATGTTTATATGTTTTCAATATTTACATATTACCTATATATATATTTAATTTATCACTTTGGTAGATTTTCAACTATTATGAATTTGTTTTTTTAGATTATGAGTTATATGCAAATTATTTATACACTAGTCCATAAATCTATAGCTTTATTTAGGTTGGAATTATTGTAAAAAAATGAAATAATATAAGCTCTAAAGAGCTGTATATATACTATAAGGTATTTTCACTAATAAAATTTAAGAAATATAAAGTGGCTCATTTAGAGCTTTTTAGCCCCAACTATTTTCAGTACATACCACTGCATTTTAATTTTTAAGGTCTAGTTAACTGTGCAGACTTTTCAGAGTAATTATTAACACCCAAGTTAAATAAATTGTATGTACTTGACTATATTTATAAACTGTTTAGTAAATGACTAAACCAGAAGATTCAATGAATCTAATTTCTTGTAAAAAATGAAAAGGAACAACTATATTGGGTAAAATGTTACCTGCCTTCTTGGTAGTGTTTTATTGTGGCTAGAGCAGATATTTTTAAATTACACTTTATTAGTTGTCAAGTAGTAAGTACAAATTTGAAAGGCAGCAATAACTCAAAAGACCTTTTTTTTTTCTTTTTGTATACTTTTACCACATAATTGAATTCCCTCTCTCATAAATGCCTGTAATAGAAAGGTGAATAAATTGTGCCTTTTTTTTCTTTTGTTAGTGGAGTTAGTCTTGCTTATATGGTCCATTTGTCATTACTGACCACTTGTGGTGACTCGGGGATGACAGCCAGCAGGTTATGCTTGACGTTCTCGAAGCAAATGGTAATTCCTTCACAGTACAGCCAAAAAAAAAAAAAAAAAAAAAAAAAAACATAGAAAGTTTATACTAATGAAGACTGTTAGAACTGTCTGGTATTAACACCAGTCCTGCATGTGTTTTTTGTCCCGTGATTGTTATTTAAATTAGTTATACTTGTAACCATAGAAAAATATGTTTACATGAAGACTGATCAGCTGTTCACTGCATGTTTCTCCTTCAGTACAGACTCATAGCTGAGGACACACAGAGAGAACCTAGCTGATCCGTTTTTTAATCCAGGTTGTTCTCTTCCATGCATTTTACAGATGTGGAAATTGATACCTATTTTAAAGAGACTGTCAAGGGGTGGGGGAGACAGAAAGCACTTATGCTTCGTGTTTCTCTGTGTTCAGTATAGGAAAATATGTGTACTCTTGTGTCAAATCCCAGTAGCGATGGGCACTATTTAATACTAGAAATGTAACTTGGGAATGATACTTAAATGGTAGCTGTTGAAAGACTTGCTGTGATTTCAGAAAACTCTCTGATGTATAATATTAAATGTGCAATGTATATGTAGGCTTTGAACTGAATATTAATAGGCAGCAAAAGTTGTGATACTTTAAAATATACAACATTAGAATTTAGTATTAAAAACATATCCACAAATTAAAAGTCAAATTTAGTGAAAATATTTTTGCAATTTATATTAATTTATGATTGATTTCAAATTTTTTTCTAGTCCATTTAGAATCTGCAGATAGTTATTTTTTAACTTTTTACAAGGTCATTTAAGTATAACGTCTTCTCAGAAGAGTGTTCAGTTTATGACACATTTTCAAGATTGTTCGTGGATAGGCAGAGATGATAACTGGGTTATGAATCAGCTGGAGAAAGGAAGGGATGCAATATTGTCTCTCAGGCTCATCAAACCCACTTAGAGGATGATGACCCACAGGAGAATGATCCCATGTACAAATTCCATTTTATTGTCCACAAATGAAAACACAGACACATATACATAGATGAACTTGCCTAAAATCTCATTCTTTCTGTTATGTTACCTCATGCCTTATAGCAGAATACCAGAGAATGTAAATTATGTGGGCCTAGTTCTGATGCAAAGATGTTATTCTTTACTGAGCTGATTTTCCTTTCTGACATGAAAAGTTTCATGTCAATTTTGCTCTAAGTAACGGCCTTCAGCTAAAATTGTACTCTTTCAAAAAACACTAGGTTTGGTTTCAAAATCGACGGGCCAAGTGGAGAAAAAGAGAACGATACGGCCAAATACAGCAAGCTAAAAGCCACTTTGCTGCCACCTACGACATATCAGTTTTACCTAGGACTGACAGCTACCCACAGGTATGGTTAATGACACAGCATGCTCATCAAGGGAAGTGGGTGTGGCTCCACTCACAGGGTGACCTAGCGATTCCTAGATCTGATGCAATAACCAAGAGAGAAAACTTAGCCTCCAGAAAACATGTTCCACACTTAACAGATTGTTCATTTATTAAATGATAAATTTATTTTTTTCATTACTTTGTCATTCACCGGAAAATATTCCATGGTCTGTCTGTGCCTTTTGGGTTTGTTACATATTGGAAAAAAAAAAAAAAAGAAAGCAAGAAAGAAATAGCACTTAATGACTTAATGATATGTCTTAATTTTATCATGCATTTTAATTATTCAGGCTACTTCTTTATTCAATTTTTTAAAAAATGTGTTGCCTGTCATAAAACCTTTGTGGCCATAAGTTTGTGCAACATAACAAAATGCTGCTGTTAGATGTGAACTTCCACTCCTCATCTCTGTTTAAAAACCTCATTCTTTTGCCAATCTATTTTTCTCACATTGATGTTGCTTGCTGTTTCAAGAGCACACTGTAGACATTAAACAAAACAAAACAAAAACAAAACAATCATACTAAGTTGGTTTCTTTTTTACAATGGGAGTTCTCTAATAACATCTCAAAAAGTGTTCATATTTCCCTTTCTTTTGACCAATAACGTTTTCTTCTTTTTCACCCTTTACGGTATGTGTTTTCTGGTCTTAGAGTCTATCATATTATATTTCCTTAATATGGGATAATGAATGATGTTCTGCTCTTTGAATGCTTGATGAGGGACTTGGGGATTGTCGGGAGCAAGCTGTTCCTTGTTTCATATCTTGTTGCTTATTTTGATACATGCTTTATGAGGCATATGTGAAGTGTAGTTTGGATAAGTACTTTGATATATCCATAAGAACCATCTCAACTCCTAATGCGAGAATAGCTATTCTGTTTAACTGTAAAAATTCACCCCCTCCGTGTGAATTCAGTCCTCGAATGATGCCCTTTCCTAATACACTCTTGCCTTTAAAATCCCCTTTAAAACGTTTTTGGGACTTTTTTTCTTGCATATAATTCTTTAAATTTATCCTGCAATTTTTATACCTTAAAAAGAGCATCAGAAAACACCAAATTCTATTCCCTCATTTTAAAACTCAGAAAAAAAAACAAGCCTAGCTGTGTTAAGGAATTGGCCCATGATCACATCAATGTTTTCTTCCAGGGCAGGCAATGAGCAACTTCTATGACCTTCTATGAAGGTTTTAAGAGGCCTGTATTATAGGAAAGTTTTGATTCATGGCCACATTCTTCCATTACTATAGCTTTCAAACTTACCTGAAATTAGTAACCTTATTTCTACTTGGTTAAAAATCATGACTATCTTTTGCTTATTTAACATCTCAGAGCTAGTGAAATTTCATTAACCTCATATTCTTTGGGTAACAGTGGAATTTTGAACAAAATGCAATGAAGTTGTTTCCTCCCTGGATGGTAACCTCCATGGGAAGGCAGACTGTCATGCCTTATAGCTCTTATCGCTGCAGGATCCTTATGTACTGTCCAGGCCATGTTCTAAACGAGCTACATGGGAACTCATTTAACCAAAAATAACAGCCATCTATAATGGGTATTGATTTTCTCCATTTCTCACATGGGGAAAACGAGGCACAGAAATAGGAGGTGTATATTTACCTTCACTTCTGATGAAGCCAGATTTGACCAGAGTCAAGCTTGGCTCTCTTGCACAAGATCTTTCAGAACACACATTACTTAAGCATTTAATTAGAATTTCAAACATGAATACGATATTAATATCATTTCTCTGCTCTCCCCTTCCAATTCCCCTCCCATTCACTCTCAAATCCCTTTTTAGATGTTATTGTTACATTTATTCTCTGCCTCTGTCTCTGTCTCTGTCTCAGCCTACTAAGACCTTTAATTTTGCTTTGTGTGTATAGTGGTTTAAGGCTGACCTTAACTCACATAACAGAATGTCTTTCCATATGAATGCATTTAAGTCCTTGAGTTATCAGCAAGCATGAGTTCAATTGCTAGACTCTGCAGTTTACTTCAGGGAGGCAAGGAATGTACCTCAAGCCAGTAAAATAAGAAGCGAGTGTGATGGTGTATAATTTACATCATGGTGAAGCTACTAACTTCAGACTAAGAGACAGATACCAACCTACCAACCGCTGGTCTGTTTTCAAGTGCACTTTAAACATTTGTACTCAGTAAACTTTCTACACAATTCTTCACTGAAGCCCCTCATTTTGAATACTGCCACTCGCCTGCATCCCTTTTGCCTGTGAACCCTATTTATATTTTTCATTTCGTGTCCCTGGCTGTTGGTTACTTTGGTTTTGGCTCATATTTCTTATTTTCTGTTTCATAAAACATTTGCAATAGGGCCTGGCACCAATTAAAATCTTTGAGAGGGCCTACGACACTGACTAGCCATCCCTTTTGTTAGCACTATTTTTCCATTGGCTTCCTGCATATCACAGCTTTGGACATGGGCTAACACAGCCTCATAGCTAAGACAAGGAAGAAGACAGGAAGAGGATAAGGTATGTCCAGGTGGATACTGGATAGTTAATTTTTTCACTTCCACAAATCATGGGAATTTTATTCTCAATCTCCTTGAAACTTCTATGTCCTTTAAATAAATTGGCTATACTAAGGTACGGGAATACAGACAAATTGTGCTGAATTTATTTTGACAGTGAAATTGATAAATGCCTGTAAAATGAGCATTGCAACAACCCCTCAAACGATTCAATATTAGTGGCAAATCATATTTATTTATTTATTTATGGCCAGAAATTCTGGAATCAAGCATATGTCATAGTAAACACTGGCAAAAGCCAGAGGGGAAAGTCTCATTCAACATAAAATACGAAGTAGACTTATTTTAGTTCTTTGAAAAACAATTATGCCAAGATCAGGTCTCCCAAGCTTCAGCCTAAAGGAGATGTTTTCTATCATGCAGTTTGGAAATAGAAACTTCTAACAGGAGAAACAGGCACTGAAATAGAATCCAACGACTTAGTGCAAGAAAACATTGAATTTGGTACTGTTACTAATTATACGGAAAAAGTATAAACTAAAAAAAAAAAATCTCAAAACTGGAAAATGTTGGAGGCAGGGGCAGAAATAAAGAATTAACAATTTGGCAGGGATGCAAGAGCTACACAGAAATGCAGGGAAAATAGAAAGGATTTAAAATACAGTCTTTTGAAGTACAGAGAAATCACTGTACCTAGCAGAAAGTTGTCTGTATAGGACATAGATAGTAATTAACATTCATAACATGCTTTAAAATCTTTGTTTCCAACTGGTTCTCATTACTTTGTAGTAACAACATCACTCTAGAAATATCAGTAAAAATGAACAGCCCAGGTGTTATTTTAGCCCAGGCATTTTGCTTCTTTCTTATTGCCATAGACTCTCTTTGAGTACACATCATCTGAGGTCAGGCATCACAGCCTACTTTTGAAATCTTCTCTTCTAAATCATCACATAATCTTGTCCCAAATGTGTGACTTTCTTTTGCAAAACAAAACATGCTTTCACCTTAAAATTCATGGAAGAGTGGGGTAAAATATTTTAAATGTGTTGATTCCTTTTAGATTGTGATAGGGCCTTTTTTAAAAATTCTGCTGATCTTCTGTTGCAGATGAACAAGATGAGCAGTACAATGTGTAGCCACATGCATTAAGGTAGCATATATTTTAGGCATTGAATACAGTTTAAACTAAGCATGGTGGCTCATACCTATAATCCCAGCACTCAGCAGCATATGGAAACCAAATAAACAAAGGTTTGAGGCCATCTTTAGCTGTGAGTTTGTGGTCAGTTGGGACTTCAAGAAATCCTGTCCCAACCAACCAACCAATCAACCAACCAACCACGTACATTAAAGCCAGGTGCTATGCACACACCTCTAAGACAATGTTCAAGAGGCAGAGATCGTATGATGGATCTCTGCAACTTCAAGACTGGAGAGCTGGCTTGGTGAGAGATAGATTGATTCCCAAGCATCCAAGTCTGAGGACTCAACAGCTGCCAGTGTTTTGGGCACCTGTACTCACCTGCACAAACCTATACACAGGGAAACACACACACACACACGCACACACACACACACACAGTTAAAAGAAAACAAATATGTATTTAAGTATCTTGCTTTGCTTAAAATATCTGTTGCCATTTGGCAATAATTTGAATCAAGCTAAATTATTTGATGCTCAGGACATTATTAATAACAGTCTCATTGTTTGTGTGGATTCTGTTTCTGTGTGACAATTCCCTTCCACACCCATGCAGTATTTCCTCCTTAACCCTCTTTTTTTTTTCTTTTAGAATTTTATTTATTTATTTACTTATTTTCTTATTTTACACATAGATCTCAGTTCCCCTCTCCCTCCCTCTTTCCTCTCTCCCTCCCATCCCCCCTTCCCAACCACCCTCCCCCTCCCATTCTCCAACCACCCCCCCATACTCCACAGGGAGGGTGATGCTTTCCAGGAGGGATCAACAAAATCTGTCAAGTCATTTGGAGTAGGGACTAGGCCTCCAGGTTAAGGGAGTATCCCTCCATGGGGAATGTGCTCTCAAAGTCCTTTCATGCACCAGGGTTACATCCTGGTTCCACTGTCAGAGGTCCCTTGACCCTCTTAAGTACTCCCTCTACTAGAGGAGTATGTGGTATGCCAGAGGTTCCTACTGTTTTCAATATAGTCTTTTAAAAATGCAATTCGGTTTTTAATCACCTCCGTATTACTGTGACAGCAAGCAAATTATTAGTCAGTAGATGTAAATGCAAGTACTGATTTACTTAAATAACTTTTCATTAATGAACTAAAAATAATCATCAGTAAAACAGATGGCTTCTGCAGTCTCTACCAGAAGCAGTACTGGTGGGTTTAAGCAATTAACCTTCCTTTCTTTAATACACTAAAGAGATTTGCAGAACCCAATTCATCATAACAATCCCCTCCCTCCAAATTTCCTTTACATTTCATCAACA